ATATCATATTGAATATTAGGATCTTTGTAGAAGTAGAATGGATTTAGAAAGTAAGCAGCAAGATGCAAAGGAGAATCCAATCTACCTTTCATTTTCTCATCCATAATCCGAAAGAGAGGTTTGTAATTCTTTTCCAAATGACTGGAAAATCAAAACTTGAACCTATAGATAGAGAAATAAAAAGAGTAAATTTGGGAAAATACCCTTTTTTGTTTACATTTTTGAAAAATAACTTTTCTTTAATTTCTTTAAGAAACTATTTTTAAATATGTAAAGTTACTTAAATTTACTTAAACTTAAAAACAATTAATCAAAATATTTATATTATAAATAGAACATCAATTTATTGATAATAACTAAAATAATTTTTACAAAAATTTTATATGACTAACAATTCCGAAAATTTACTATCATAAATTATTTTTTAAACAATAATGAATAACAACATTCTACCGATATTAAGTCATGATTTTTGTGAAGTCTTATGTTATTGTTATGATGCAGAAAACATATAAAATAGTTTATTTTACAAAAAAAAAAAAATCAAAAAGAATCATTGAATTGAAGAAAAGTTTTGTGATATGTTAAGTTGAAAAATGTGTTTGGAGTATTGGATATTATTTTACTTTATATAACATGAAAAATATTTCGTGAAAGATTTTATAATATTTTTAGATATTATCTTGTTAAATTTAAATATATAAAATTAATAAACCATCTTTGTGTTAAAAATATATATAATTCGTATTAATATTATTTTGAATTTTTTTTTTCCCTAAATTTCGAATTTAGTTTTGATTTATTAAAAATATAGCTTTAAATTTAAATTAATATCAAACTGTCATATTTATATATAAAAGATTGTAGTTTTCATTAAAATAGGAAAAAAGGGTATTTTTCAAAGTATAACTCAAAAACATGGTATTTTTCAAAATGGCCATAAAAATAACCGGCAGGACCAATAATATCTAAACCAGAACATAGAGTCATTTCAATTGGCTAGACGTACAGAGATATCAAAGACAATAGATAAAGACGTCCTAAACGACTAGACAGAGACTTCAAAGACATGTTTTATGAAATACAAGTGTGAAATTTGTAAAATTGAGCAATAACAATATAAAGATTTAAGAGATATTACATGTAGATCACGAACAAAGAGATTAGAGTGGCTCGAAATCAAGTCAAATTCAGTTTGGCTTTGATCAAATTTTTGAGGAGAAACGAGATTATGAGAGAGCAAAGTCGACTGCAACATGTTCGACCTTTTGAGAGAGAAGAAGCACTAAACCAGAGAAGGACCACTAAACCAGAGAAAAAGCACCAAACCGGTTATTAATTGATTTTTGGAAAAAACGTAACATCCTACATCGACAAGTAGAAAATGAGTCCATGGAAATATTTGATTATAAATATGCTTTCCCATTGTTAATTGTTTGTCTCCAAATAATAATGAAGTTGAAGCCCAATGTTAAGTGGATTAAGGCCCAAACTTCAGTTTGACTTTTCTTATTAAATCGGAAATTTTTAACGATTAAATTACTAATCGGCCAATAAATCGTTTAAACGATTAAACAATGCGATTAGGGCTAAATCGCGGCGGTGAGCCTCCGACGAGCGCCTAGGCGCCTGATTAATCGGCTAGGCACCCGATTTTTTGAACGGGGGTTGTTGGCAATAGATCTGAGTGGCGAAATTTACGGTTCAGACACCAAAAAAAATGTATTCAATGATGAGAATGATGAAAATGTCGGAAAAGAGACAATAAAAAAGTGTAATTTCTTTGGACCATCTGCAAACTAAATGTCTGCACTAATAGGGGTAAACTTGGATCTCCAGGTTTCCCTACATGAGGCTCTAGAGGACATGTGCCTGAACTTTGCATCTTTCAACCGTGATGCCGCGCCTACACTAGATGAACAAGACGAAGAAGATAACATGTATATTTATAAGCAGGCTATATATTATAGTTGTGCATGATATATTCATGAACTACATGATATATTTATGATTATAAGTAGCAACAACAATATGCTTTGTTTCTCGATTTGCTGTCTTTCATCAGTACATGTGATTTCTTAAAACAACATTCTGTATTCTGACTTATGATTTCCTTCATTAAGAGCCTCAAAAAAACAACAACATGGGTAATATGTATATTTATAAAATCAATCTATATATTATAGTTGTGCATGATATATATATGAACTACATGATATATTTATGATTATAAGTAGCAACAACAATATGTTTTTTTTTCGCGATCTGCTGTCTTTTATCAGTACATGTGATTTCTTAAAACAACATGCTATATTCTGACTTATGCTTTCCTTCGGGTTCCCGTATTGCTATATTATTGCATGTTTTATGCCTCTTCGACATGAAATATTATGTTATGAATTGATAGGTCGTGTCGGGATGGAGTTAGCTATTCGAGATGTTCAGTATGAAGGCGATGAATCGTTTGTGAGGCGTGTCTTAAAAAAAAGCAAGTCTGCAATGTGAAATTAACCGTGCATGCGCTTAATCGACGGAAAAATGTGAAATTAACCGTGCATGCACTTAATCGACGGTTTCATTTCCGTCGTGGGCGCTCCAGCTAGAAATTGATAACTTTGACTTGTGTTTCCGAATCGTGCACCTGGCGAGTGTACATAGTGAAGTTGGAAAACTGTGACAACTAACAAATTCGTAGTGCTACACTCGATCATACTTGCACCGTTAAATAACGAAGTAATTATCATAGAGTAGTCACGATTTGCGTGATTGGCATCATAATGAGAGGAAAATATGAGGGGAACACAAGATACCTACGAGCAATTGACCTACAACAACTCCTTCTTACCGATCATTCTATTAGAATTTCCTATTGGAAGGCATGGAAATCCCGGAAAATTGCTATGGAGGGAGAAAACGGATCAGCTACAAATAGCTTCTCTCTCTTACCAAGTTACATACATGTACTATAGGAGGCGAACTGAGGATCCGTTGTTGATCTTAAAACAGGGGTTGATGCAAAAGGTATTTATAGGTTTAAATACTTTTTCCTAGCATTCGCAGCATGTGTTGAAAGTTTTGCATACATGAGGCGTGTCATTGTAATCGATTGGGCCCACCTAAAAGGGAAATATGGAGGCTGCCTGCTAACAGTCAGCTACCAAGACGCCAATTTCCAAGTGTTCCCTCTAGCATTTGGAGTTGTTGGTAGCAAAAACGATGATGCTTGGGAGTGTTTTTTCTGGGGTTTGAGCACAGCAGTACCAGACGCAGCGAATCTGACATTCGTCTCAGACCGTCATTCCTCAATTTCAACAGGACTGCGAAGGGTAAGCCTAAAACACATTCACTTTAAAACACATGTTATTGGTTGGTAAACCTTGATAGTTTTAAATATGAGTTGACATTTGCTTATGTTACATACACTATTTTCATATACCTTGATATTTGAAATTTTACCTTGATCTAAAGTTTGTTTCGGATGCAGAGATTGTTCTATTTGATTGTCTTACATTTAGTTTGTCGGTTTGTATATATTTTTATTTTAAAATGTGAAGTGCAGTTGTGTTTTTTTACATGCTACGTTCAATTAGTGCATGTGTTTTAACAAAATAACTTCTTTTACGCCGTAAGTGTTTTCAAAGGCTAGGCATGGCACTTGTGTAGTTCATTTCCAGCGTAACATTGCAGCCATCTACAAGAAAAAACACATGTTGTTCCACGTTTCCAGAGCTGCTAGAACATACAAGATTTGTGAATTTCATACATACTTCAACGAGGTGATAAGACTTGATCCGGCTTGTGCAAGCTACCTAGAGTCAGTTGGCTTTTATCATTGGACAAGAGCTTATTTCCTGGGAGAAAGCTACAACGTAATGACCAACAATGCTGCGGAGTCATTGAAAGCAGTGTTGAAGAAAACCAACTCCCCATCATTTTGCTTCTTTTAGTTCATTCGAACAACTAATGTCATGGTTTACGATGAGGCATGAGGAAGCCAAATCAGAAACATTAGCTCTACCACCAAAGATGAGAGAAGTGGTGCATCCATACTTCGAAAAATCTGTAAAATTTTCCGTTAGGCGCATAGACAGATATGCTTATGAGATACGAGAAGAAGGGTCCACTGTTTATCATGTGAAGCTCCCGGAAAGCATCTGCTCGCACAGAGCATTTGATTTGCATCACTTGCCTTGCTCACACGATATAGCTGCTGCAGTTGCAGAGGGTGCTCCTATCCAAGGACTACTCGCGCCAGAGTATTCAGTTGAAATTTGGTGAATATCGTACTAAGGGACTATGAAATCAGTCCCTGATTTTAAAGATGTGTTCCCTTTACCTAAACCCATAGCTTATCTTCAACTATTCGCCTTGCAACCTGCAATCCGCCGGATTGACTGAAAAAGAAGCGTATAACATCACAGGAGAGTTTAAGATAACTGTTTTTTTTTTCTTAATATTTAAACTATTTTCAGGTTTTGCTTCTAACATATGTTGTTTGTAGGCAACACAATGTCATATAATACGTTGTTCGCACTGCACAGGCACTGGTCATAACGTGCCACGTGCAATGCCCATATAGAGGTGTGAACTGCTCCTTTTTAAAATGCAATGTTTTATATAGAGATAACATGCATTTTATATATATAACATGGGTTGGACTATTCTACTTGCGCATGGGTAGTCGATGTTTCGCGTTGTTTGCATGGGCTGTAGTAGGTTATGGCTTTTAATGAAAGGGAAATCCATCAAAAATGGAGTTATATCTAGAAGGAAGGTTACTTGGTTTATGTACATTATGTACATAGTAGCATAGAGACCTTGCTTCGAAGGTAGCGCCTTACTCTATGGACTGATGCACTCAAGTAGAACCCGTGCCAGCCGGTGTTGGCTTTTTGTTGTTTTTTGGTGTTTCTCTGTAGATAAAGTAAGAATACTTCTATTTGTATGCAGACTCTTGATATTAAATAGCAACGCATGTGTTCAATCAAAATGAAGCGTTGTTAATATTGACAACGGTTCTCTAGAAAAAAACTCTACCATGGAAAAAAAAACACAGAGTTATTAAACAACCAATGCCATAGGAAGAAAACACATGGGATTCCTCAACCACTAGGAGTAAATTAATGCGATGGATGGATAGCTTTAATGACGTTTGTACCTGCCTTTCCACCCATACGTACTAGTATCCATAAATGCATGTATACATTAACATACCTGGTTGCCCTCTATTTAAATACAACATATCTATATTTCTTTGCCAACCAACCTATTCCGATATCTATTTACCAAAAATACTCAGGCAGAAAGACTGATTTACTAGAATTAGGGGTCAAATGAGAGAGTATAGGCAGCATCTTGTCTACATGCGGATTGACGGCTTATTCAGGAAAATAATTTGAAGCGGCTTTGGAGGCAAATAACCCGGAAGCTTATTACTTAGAAGGTCTAAGGTATGCTTTGTTGAAAAAAAACATAGCCACGACGAAAAATCATATTTTCAAAGCTGTAAACAAAGTTGAAGAAGCAACATTCGTCTTCGCTATGTAGTCTATTTGTGTTGTAGAGAAGGAATTGAGAAAGTTCTTCACCGAATAATTGTTTGCACAACCATGAGCAGAGCTTTTAGCTATGAGTGACTCTGTCTTTGCAGTTCTTGAACGCATGGGGGTGCAAAACGGCACAGCGTGCGCCCAAACGTGGAATGGCGCCGTCCCAGATTGTTCAGAAATCCATAACATATACAACTGCTATGAAGAGTAGTACATATTTTGGTGTTTCAAGGAATTTTGTCACCGTTGTTAGGTAGCACTATGAATAAGATCTAACATGTTGGTCCTTCGTTATTTTCAAAAATATGTTGTTGTTTTCTTTATCCCAGTATGTATAATATGTTGTTGTTTCTTGTTTTTTTTCGCTGTTGTTGTTTCTTGTTATGTGTACTATATTGTTGGTTTTTTTTAGGCTCGAATGTAAAATACTAAAATGTGTATCGATCTATGGTCTTTGATTAATTATAAAAGCAGTATGACTAACGTGATAATTTTGTATATTCGTTAAAACATGATGCAATCTTCGAACAAAACATGGGTTGCGTAGAAAAAGGTTGCTTTAAATAGTATAACGGAACAATCTTGGAACAGACAGAATACGGGATAAATCTTGATATTCGTTAAAATGATATAATCTTGAAAAACAACACGGGATCTGTAGAAAAAATAAGGTATATATTATATAAGAGAACAACAAAATTAGTCGCTTTTTAAAAAAAAAAGGATATTTGTTTTTAAAAAAAGACATATGTTTGGTATAAACGACACACTACACAGACATAATACTGTTTCAAAATATAAAAAAAAAATTCCAGGACATAGAAATATAACACATCTACTACTTACTTAGGAGAACCATCGATACATATCGTCAACAAAAGGGAAGTTACATAATTAGTAAGGTACAAACAACATCGTATAATCCTAGGCATACCCATTATTTCCAATATATTACAAGATTCGGCTAAAGGAATAGTCAAACAGTCCCATTTCCTAACTCATAAGTAGCGATTATGTAATTTTTGGCAGCACTGAACACATGAACAAGCTTCACACGCTTGCACGACTCAATCTCGCCATCAACATGAGCTTCTGTTATATGGGCGACCATAACTCCTTAATGTCAGAGAAAACAAGCATGCAGTATCTCTTTCTCCCTGTGAACAACAACAAGCTTCATACACTAGTAGAAATTTTTCGTATAACCACGGTTTAGCCATGGACATTCGTGGCTAATTTCATACCAGCCACGAATTAGTCACTAAAAAATAACGTGACAATTTTCGTGGTTTCTGGTGGTTTTTCGTGGCTAATTTTTGCCACGGATTTTATCTGTAGCAAATTCGTGGCTATTTGCTACGAAAAAGCCACGAAATTTTCGTGATTATTTTATTTTCGAATTTATTTTATTATATAGCCACGAATTTGCTACAGATAAAATCCGTGGCTAGACGAAAACCTAAATCTTAAAGACAAACTCTAAATTTATAAACTCTAAACAAAAATCTAATTACCAATGTATACCCTAATTAAAATTAAGATCCAACACTTTTATAAAATTCTTAGTTTTTAAATCAAACATTTCAAATCTATACCCCAAACCCTCAATTTAACTCCAAATCCTAAAATCTAAACTTTAATTAAAATTTTCATTATAGAAATTAAACCATAAACCATCAAACCAAAATATAACCATTACATTTACATAAAACCAATATTTAGAACCATTTACAAAAAAATCAGTTGTTTGTTAAGAAGAAAATAGCAAAATATTTGAAATCTAATCAATTTTTTAACCCTAAACCAAAACATAATCAGTATAATAAACTAAAATCAAATAAAAATAAAGTTTTAAAATATAATCATCATTTTATAAATTCTAAACTGGAAACCATAATTAATAAATATATTGAACAAATAAAAACAAATGTATTTAATAAAAACACATACAAACAAAAGTTATAAAAAAAATATAGACAAAATGCAATAAAAGAGACTTGCTTCTCATTGGTTACGCCACATTGACGAGGATCACAGTTTTGTTGATCATCCACCGTTGATAACAAAAATCTAACGGACATAAATCTTTCTTTTATTTTGTTTCTCATTCCCAACAAAAGCAATTACTCTCTTCTTCTTCTCTCTTTTTTTACGATCTCTACTTCTCTTCTCCTGTTTCCTTTTTGTTTTTCTGGGTAAATTTCTCTTTCTTTTTCTTCTTCTCTATTTCTCATGAATACTAATCTTTTCTTTGTTCTTTTTTTTTCAGATCTCGCATATCAAGCCTCCGCCACCGCGTCTTGAAGCCGTCGTTCACCACCACCACCACCATTGACGATGTTCAACGCATCAGCGCCGTGACATCAGCCCTGGAGTTCAACGCAACGATGCCGTCACATCAGCCATGGAGTTTGATCCAAATTCCGATTGCTGCAATGTTTTCAACGGACAACAATGAGAGCTCCTAGATCTGATGCCCGACAAAACCTCACCGTCCACCTCCAGCCACCACCAGATCCGACGCCACGAGACCACCGAAGATGCTTGACGGAAAGACATCACGTGAAGCATTTTTTAATTTTTTTTTTTTTTTTTGTAAAGTTTTAATTTTTCTTTTTAGTTAAAATCATTGTATTTTATAAATAAATAAAATTTCACATTTTAATTAATAAATAATAATCCTTTTTTTTTTGTTTTTTTTTATATTAAAATTATACAAAAAAATCACGAATTAGTCAGGATTATTTTCGTGGCTGTAGACTTGTAGAGCCACAAATATTTAAGTGGCTATCTGTGATAAATCAGCTACGAAATACGTGTGACTAATTCGTGGCTAAACAACCAGGAAAAGCCACGAAAAAATAAAGCTACGAAGCTATAGCCACAAATATTTTTAGTGACTAGTCGTGGCTATCAATATAGCCACGAATTTTTAGGTGCAACCATGAATATTGAAGTGGCTATATGTATTTTTTTTACTAGTGATATAGCTTTTCTTTTCCCCACTTTTTTATATAGCAAATCAAAACAGGTATGGTAACATCTCAGCTAAGGGCATAAGAACAGTCTTCAGCTTTGGTTCACGCCATAATCCTATAAAACAGTTTAGGACAGTCATGTTCCAATCCTTCATATTAACACAGAACGTAAATATTTTCAACCAAATGTTGTTTGTCACAAAGAAAGGGAATGTAGACCCTTTTAAACCCAGTGGGAGTAGGCCTGGACACAAATATGGATCCACATAGAACCGAACCGAACCGAAATTGATGGGTTTGGTTCAATTCTGGTTCTAGTGAAAATATCGATTGGATCTTGAATTACAGAACCATGGGTATCGGTTCGGTTCGGGTAGGAACCGATATCTATTCGGGTACCCAAAAAGTGTAATTTCTTTGGAACATCTGCAAACTACATGTCTGCACCAATAATGGTAAACTTGGATCTCTAAGTTTCCCTACATGAAGCACTAGAGGACATGTGCCTAAACTTAACATCTTTTAACCGTGATGCCGCGCCTACACTAGATGAACAAGGCGAAGAAGATAACATGTATATTTATAAAAGCAGCCTATATATACATGAACTACATGATATATTTATGATTATAAGTAGCAACAACAATATGCTTTGTTTCTCGATTTGCTGTCTTTCATCAATACATGTGATTTCTTAAAACAACATTCTATATTTTGACTTATGATTTCCTTCATTAAAAGCTTCAAGAAAACAACAACATGGGTAATATGTATATTTCTAAAATCAATTTATATATTATAGTTGTGCATGATATATACATGAACTACATGATATATTTATGATTATAAGTAACAACAACAATATGTTTTATTTTGCGATCTGCTGTCTTTCATCATTACGGGAGAGTTTAAGATAACAGTTTTTCTTTTTGTTAATCTTTAAACCATTTCCAGGTTTTGCTTCTAACATGTGTGGTTTGCATGCAACACAACGTCATATAATACGTTGTTCGCGTTGCACAGGCACTGATCATACTCGTGCCACGTGCAATACCCATATAGAGGTGTAACTGCTCCCTTTTAAAATGTAATGTTTTATATACGGATAAAATGCATTTTATATATATATAACATGGGTTGGACTATTCTTCTTGCGCATGGGTAGTCGATGTCTCGCGTTGTTTGCATGGGCTGTAGTAAGTTATGGTTTTTAATGAAGGGGAAGTTCACCAAGAATTGAGTTATATCTAGAAGGAAGGCTACTTGGTTTATGTACATAGTAGCATAGAGACCTTGTTTCGAGGGTAGCGCCTTAAGCTATGGACTGATGCACTCAAGTAGAACCTGTTCCAGCCGGTGTTGGCTTTTTGTTTTTTTTTTTTGGTGTTTCTCTGTAGATAAAGTAAGAATACTCCTATTTGTATGCATACCCTTGATATTAAATAGCAACGCATGTGTTTAATCAAAATACAATGTTGTTAATATTGACAACGGTTCTTTAGACAAAACTCCACCATAGAAAAAACAAAAAAAAAAACACAGAGTTATTAAACAACCAATGCCATAGGAAGAAAACACATGAGATTCCTCAACCACTAGGAGAGAATTAATGCGATGGAGGGATAGCTTTGATGACGTTTGTACCTGCCTTTCCACTCATACACTAGTATCCATAAATGCATGTATACATTAACATACTTGGTTGCCCTCTATTTAAATACAACATATCTATATTTCGTTGCCAACCAACCTATTCCGATATCCATTCACCAAAAATACTTAGGCAAAACGACTGATTCACTAGAATTAGGGGTAAAATGAGAGAGTATAGGCAGCATCCTGTCTACATGCGGATTGACGGCTTATTCTGGAAAATAATTTGAAGAGGCTTTGGAGGCAAACAACCCGGAAACTCATTACTTAGAAGGTCTAAGCTATACTTGTTGGGAAAAAGACATATAGATATGGGCTAAGAGGACGTCTAGGCGGTCTAGGCGGACAAAAATCGGATCACGGATTTATTTTACCGATTTGGACAAAATCGCCGCGGTCTCCACCCGGTCAGTGTCTAGGCGGCCGATTTTTAGAACAGGGGAAAAAACTAATTTCGGATGCATCTGTGCTGCGGTGATCTCACTTAGGGACAACATTTTTAGCTGCAGCTGCAGGTCCATCAGTATCTTATACCCTTTGCTTGGTCTCGAACACCATCCCCATTGACACCAAGATCTTCAGATAAGGAGACTGCTGGGCCAATAACCGTGGTAAATGTGTTACCTAGAAGAAACACAAACCTGTCTTCCTACAGCACTCTGCCAAGTAGGATTTGTCTGTAGAGATGTCGCATCATTGAGTTCTGTTAACACTGAGCCTAAGACAGATTCAAGAAATCCAGTTGCGTTCTCTTGGCCAGAATGCGATCTAGTGGCTTCTATATCAGCAGATGATGAGACTCCTTGCTGACCAATGCGGCCATCATTTCCTGATTGCGCTGCAGATCCATCTACTTCTCTAGAAATTTGAACACATTAGAATTTCCAACAGCTCTAATAGCTTCTGTAAACAAATTGGTCATACGAGCCTCAGAATCCGCAATTGCCTTCAACACAAGGTTCTGCATTCTCTTGTCTTTCAGGTCAACACAGTGTTTCAGCGCGTCAGAAATGTGCAACTTGTCTTTTCCTTTACGGTTTTTTGAAGAACCAACCATGGTATTTGGAGGGTCTAGAGTTTCATCATCGATGGTGTCATGCGTGCTACAAACATTACTGTTGTTACTATCGTCAGGCAGAGAATCAGACATCAATCCGTCAAAAGAACATTGAAGCAGTAAATTTATGATGCTCGCTTACAAGTTGGAGAAGGTGGTCAACACCAGGATCATCTGCGTCCTCCAGCCATCCACTCAAGAAAAGGTCACCATTCACTTCTCCACTTAGAATAGATACGACATTGCTCTGAAAAATAACAAGTGGTTAAACCTTACGATCAGTCTATTTGATATAAAAAAACATGATATATATATAGAGAGATATAAAACAAAGTGTGTCGCATTACATATATATAAAACACATGTGATCACCCCAAACAACATGCAATAAAAAATGATATAATATAACCAGATAATATTAACAAAACACACGCTATGTCTATCTACAACATGTTATCTATATGTAATACATACTATCTACATCAGCCTATGTTATGTATATAAAACACATGATATATACGAAGAATACATGTACAAGTGGACCTAAATCTCTAACCTATATATGTGTATGTATATCTATAAAAAAACATGAGATCACCACAAAGTACATGCAATAAAAAGAACAACAAAGGTATGCGTATATATAACATGCTATAGTACAAAAAAAATTACTATCACAATTTCATAACATTCGGCCCTCCTATCTACAAACAAATCATATTTAATATTTATGTATATATCATGATATAAAACTATAATACATGTACATGTGGACCTCAATCTGTAAGCTATAACTCTTTATGCATATATTAAAAATACATGTGATCACCACAAACAACATTCGATAAAAAAAAATGATATAACTCAACAAAACAACGTCTACGTAGAACATATTATCTATATGTAATACATACTATATACATCAGTATCTGTCATATCTATAAAACACATGATATATACGAAGAATATATATACATATTGACCTAAATCTGTAACCTATACCTATGTATGCATATCTAAAAAACACATGAGATCACAATAAATACACGCAATAAATAGAATAACAAAGATATGCGTATATATAACAAGCTATAATATATATAAAAAAATTTCTATCATAATTTCATAAGATTGGGCCCTTCTATATCCAAACACATCATAAATATATATGAAGAGCATGTTAATAATACGCGCTATGTATAATATCTTAAACAGGTTCTCTATATGAAATTCATACTATATACATTTAAAACATAGCACAACAACAAACCTATTGCATTTTACAAATTATGCAGTAATAGAGAGAATTGGATTAGATATTCGTACCAGGGACTTCTTATCCACTTTCCACACTATATCTAGCTTCAAACTCCATAGCCGCTCAATTTCAAAGTCAATTTCCTCCATCTATGAATCCCCTTCTTCGTCAACTTCAGGGAATTGCAACTCCCTAATAACAAGAACACAGTGCAACTATAGCAGGGTTAGCGCATGAGGGAATCCTTGGATAGTTGCTGGTTTCCTCATTAACTTATATGCTCCCCTTGTTGTAATGCTCTTTAGTGTCAACATGAATGATATCGTACCCCAAGGGTGATTTAGAAAGTTTTCAAGATTTTCTGACATCTCTGCATGAACCGGAGATATTTTGCTTCTACCTGAAGTTGGGCACAAGACGCCATATATGAGAGCAAGAATAGCGTACCGCAATCGCATATCTTGGTCTTGTACCAAATGCTTCTTCAACCGACCAACAACCCACTTAACAGAAACGTCAGCGCGATCAAATAGCTTGTACCAATACTTCCCAGGCATAAGTTTGCATTTGCTCTTTCTCTCTTTGACATGTGGGGGTTTGCTACAGTTTAAGCCTGTGAGTCTTTCAAACTCTGAAATTGAAGGCGAATCGGCGAACCAGAAAAAATGAACCAGATTTCATTTTTTTTTCTAACGACAAGCTGTCTCGTTAGCAAAAAATGAATTAGTTTCCCAGAATATGCCACTCCCTCTGGCTTATCAAATACTTTCCCAAACTGGGATTTCTTCAGAATTTCCATTTCTTCAGCATCTAAACTGTTTGCGATTTCGTCTATGAGCGATAGCTCACTGTAAAATTAAACTATCTCGCCGTTGGGTTTGGATCCTTCTCTAAACGGACGCATTGGTAGTGTTGGGTTCATCATCTCAGAAATTAAAAAAAATGGGAAAGCAAACTAATCAATTATAACCAGTAATAGATCTGAAACCTCTTGATTTTCTCTTCACCTTATTTTGTAAAAACTCTTGGCTGCCCAAACAACGAATTTATTTTTTTCTGCGAAAACGAGATAGGGGAAGTAGGAGAGTGCAGAGAAATCGAAAAGCTGCGCAATAATCCAAACAAAAACTTGAGATTTACTAGTTATGTAGTAGAAAACGAAAAAGATCACAAAAACCGAGATCTACGCAATAATCGGAAACAAACCTTGAGATTTATCATATGGTAGAGGGATTAAAAGATTTCACGGTTTTTCGCCTTCTCGGGTCTTCGCAGGCAGACCAAAGGGGAAGCGACGCTAGGGTTTCGACTCTCTCTCGAGGCGGTTGTCAATAAATGAGAGCAAGAAATAATAAGGTTTCTGTTATTAAAATTATTTTGCGTCTGAAAACGCATAATAATACCCAAAGATTCAAATTTCAAATAAAGGCATCATTTGCTTATTGAATTGTTTGTCCCTTCTACTGAAACACACGAATAGGGAGAGAATGGTAAAAACCTAAGGGGTTCCAACAACTACTACTCAGCCATGGTTAGTTTGTATATTATTTTTTAAATTCAAAGTTAGTTCGTATAGATTTCCTTATATAAATATAACTAGTATTGTCCTCCATCCATAGGACGGACATAGTATTTTTAGGTTATTAAAAGTATTTTTTTGTAAAAATAAAAATGTTTTCAGAAAATCTAACCAAAAATGTAGAACTTTGTCAACAAAATTATAATTAGAGCCAATAGTAGTCAATAGCATACATGAGAATATAATAAACATACAAGGAAATGGACAAAGGATTGTTCTATAGAATATCTAGGTATATCTTTATATAAGAAATATTTACATTATTCGATATATGTACCCAAACAGTGAGGTTGTACACAGCGAGCTTTCTTTCATTTTGTTCTTGAATCATAAAAAAAAAGGGAGAAATGAAGAGAAATGATCTCTTGTTCTTGAACCTTGATCGGATGGATTTTAAGGAACATTTGCAAGGTTTCTCTAAACATTGTAGAAGAGAAACATACATAGTGTGGAAGTGAAGATATGTGGTCACCTTAATGTTCAGTTTCTCATTCTCACTGCAGTTGATCTTCAGTCGTTTCACCTGTTACAGAGACTTTGAGCGTTAATTTTTATAAGAGAGGTGAATGAAACTTACATTGTACTTGAGTTCGAGTATATGTGAGCTGGTGATAAAACTTAATCATTTCGGAAACAGAGACAATGAATCTGAAATAAAGAGAAATGAATCTAAGATAAAGAGAAATAAATAAACATTAATATGATGGATGTGAGATATAAAAAAAAAACTGAAATTTACCTAGTTTGACTCAAAACTTAGTAAAAATAACTAAAATAACTCTCAATCTAGATGGATAACTAGACTAACCCAAATTTTATGTTAAAAGACTATTTAACCTTTCATTATGCCATTTCCTTAAAAAAAAGAACAAATTCATTTTTTTTTGAAAATAACAAATTTTTTTTAATTAAATAAACTAAATAAATAAAAATAACAAATTTAAGAAACAAAAACCAACTAATCGCGATTTAGGTTATAGTTTCTTTTTTTTTTTTCATTCTCACATATTTCCCAGCCATGCCTCTTCTTCTTTGCTTCTTCTACTAAACTCTAGCCATCTTTCTTTGAATAGGCCGCTCCCACAAACGACGACGACGATTTCGATTGGGTTAATTTAAGTGATGTTTGGTTTTCGCAGCCGCTGGGGGACATCGTTTTTGATGATTCCTCTTATCCATTGGTGACTATTCTTCTTCTCCGGCCACACAAACGGCGGCGAGGAGTCTGCTTTTCTCGATTTCATAAAAGTTTCTTCTTGGTAACTACCAAACATAATTTTGTCGTGATAAAATCCGACTTCAAACAAAAATTATAAATCTGTCATAATTAAATAAAAATCTACCATAACACTAAAAATTTATTGTCATTAAATAGGTCATACTAATAATTTATTTTTAATTCAATAAATCTGCTATGAATCACCAGATTTTTGTAAATTAAACATAAATTTGGCATAACATAAAAAAATGTGTCATAACGTTAAACATATTGGTTGCGACTATATGTCATTCTAGCAATTTTCATTTTTTCCAACAAATCTGCTATAACATTCAAGATATTTTGTTTACATTAAAAAATATTAAAAAATCTGTAAAACAATCTGTCAACTCTAAAAAGTCAAACTAGTAATTATTTTTTCATTAACAAATTTGTTGTATTATGACAGATTGTTTCCCAAAAATATAAGTCTGACGCCACTAGAAACAAAAATCTGCTACACATTGTAATAAAACTGTCAAAATTACGAAATTGTAAGGCATCATCGTAAAATAAGTGTGCAAAGGAAAAAAATCTGCTACAAGTTAAATATATGTCGTAACCATATTCAAATAAGTTTGTGGGAGGAAAAAAGCTGTCGTAGAAAATATGTTGTATACCATTAAGTCCGTCGTAGAAAATAAATCTGTCACAACGACGCCCGCAGACTTTTCACGGTAGATTTGTTTTTTCAAAAATAATTCATCCACGTTTCCAAAAAAATCAAAGGGTAATATTGACTTCTGTTTTTTTCCTAACAAAGAGAAAAATGGTATTTTGATCATGAAAATAACTAGATTGACCCATACATTTTAGGAGTTATTCTAGTAATTAAACCTTATTTTTGGGTCAAACTAGGTTTTTTCCCAAAAAAAAAGATAGAAAACCGGAGTGTGTGAGTGTGAGAGCGAGAGATGAATTTGACTCCAATGTGAATCAAGTTTTTAGTGGAAGATGAAGGGGTTTGAAATTTTTATGATATGGTTCCAAACTTACGAAAATCGTGCGATCATGGTGTGTTATGTGAGAAAATATAGAGAATTCGATTTTAAGAATATCTTTTAATTGATATGGTCCTTAAAATTAGGAAGGTAGGTTTTGTTTTGTTAATAATCATTTTTTTTATAGTTTTTCTCCTTTTTTACACGATCTCAAATGTGACGCTCCGACCGCCAACTCTTTTAATAGGCCCCAAGTCCTCTCTCGGCCCGTGGGCCACCATCTTCCGACGGCCGGTTCGCTATATCCGGGAGACTTTAAAGACTTGTTACCGACCCTACAAATCACCACATGATCTTTCCTTGTGTTTTGTCCTCACACACACAGTTCCGACAATCACTTTCCGGAAGGTTCTCTCCGGACGTTTGACCGAAAAGATAAGTGCACTTTGGTGACATAGGTGCCAAATTAATTCTTTTAAACCTCTCCGCATGCACCACCATATTCTTGAAACCGAGATGTTACATCAAAATTGTTTTAGAATTGTTTTTATTAAAATTAAATTAAATTATGGAAAAAAAATGGCAGAACTCTATGAGACATGTGACTTGAACTTTATAATATAAAGGATTTTCAATATTAATAAATTTAATAGAATGAAACTTAATACACACAACTCAAAAATTAACTACCAATAAGAACAAATGGAACCGACTAAACCCAAACATAACGAGTGAAACGCATGTTAAATCATATTTTTGGAACCCGAAAAAGGACAAAATCCACAAACTATTCAAAAAATGGCAAAATCCACAAATGCCACTATGAAAAAGGGCAAAATCCGTAATTAATTCATTTACACATGATGTTTGGGTTTATTAGGTTCTAGTTTTTTGTAGGGTATAGTTTTTGTTATGAAGTATCTGTTTTATGAAAAAAATTTCTAAATTTTTTAGTTTTTACAAGTTGCAAAAATGGCAAATTTGAAAATTATTGTAAAAATGGCATTTTTGAAAAATGGTCATGCAAAAATGGCATTTTAGACAATAATCCCGTACTATTTCAGTGGACTTGGCCTTTTTTTATTCGTGAAAATAACTAAGAACCCTATTTGGGGAATAAGTTGATATCTAGACTACTTAAACGGAAAAAAAAAAATTAATGCTTGTTTTTTTTTGACAAGTATGAATTAATATGGGAACATCGACCAGATTACATGTCATAGACTCATAGTTAACAATTGTTTATATAGGAAAAAGCTTTTGGTTTTCATTTCTTAGCAAAATCTCAAACATTAGAAATGTTACGATGACAGTTAAATTTTCTGCAGGCACTTCTACTTCTACTATGAATGCTAGCCCTTCTACTGTCTTACTATTGACAAATGGAAAGAAATTGTAATTCACGGTACTATTATTTCTCTTTGATGTGGCTTTTTTATTGTCACAATATTTATATTTGGAAAGGGTTTATGAAAGGTTTTAAAATTACTTTTTAAGAAAGTTATTTATATTATTCACCTAATAATTAATAAGAATGTAAGTGATTCCAACAACAGTAGATTATAAACTAGCTTTAATTGTGCAACCGTGTGGAAAATCATGACGAAACGATCCCAATGTGCAAACCCTTGACCAGCTTACCTACCCATCCGTCCAAAAGCTCCACAACTTTTTTTGTGGTTTAGTCAAAGTCCAAAAGTGTAGCTGGAGATGGATTGGTCACGAGTGCTTAACAGCAAAATTCGGTTTGGTACTAATAACTATGATTAAGATGTCCAATCTATAACAAACTATGATTTAGATGGAGTTTAGGCCAGTTTCTTTTAAACAATAAATAAAAATAAAAGGATAGTGCCCTCCCTTGCAAATGAAAGCCGTTTACAATTTACCAACTACGAGTTGGACTAGTGGTAAGTGTCAGGTCGCTCCAAAAGAGAAAAAAATGTTGGTCCCTCTTTCGATTCTTGGTTAGGAGGGATTTTTCCATCCCAACGGGAAGAGGTCTCGTCCCGGACAATTTATAGATGAACCAAAAAAAAAAGTTGCTTACAATTTAGGTATATGGTCAGTAAAGCTACAACATATTGCTCACCAATTCAGAGATATTTAAATTGCTTAACATTTGAACTTTTGTTTTACACAATATTCTAAAATACGTCTTCGATCGGCTGAGAATGTCCGGACGAATTATAATGATGTTATACGTGGACCCGAAGATTGTGATCTTATGTTAGAGACATGAATCAAATCAACATAAGCATAGGCCGGTGATGCAAAAGTCACGATCCGTCTAGTTTAGCTGGATAATGATTCTGCACACTCATACTATATACATAAATCCTAAACATTAACTTTTAACCTAATTTTCTTTTAGATTTTTTTAACAAGATTATGCTTATTATTGGATTTTTCCTTAACCATTGTTTTGTGTCTAAAACATACTTAAGGAGATGGGAAAGGCCTTAAATGATAAATATCCAATCCAGAGATTATTAAATATTTTCTAATGGTGATCTTAAAGAATTTCTTACGTGCTTTTAAT